AGGTGAGCATTCTGCCCCAGCAGAGCTCCCTGCTCACTGAGGAGCATCCCTGACAGCAGGGCTGCTCTCCAGCTGCTGGCCTCACGCGAGCTGCTCTTATTAGACCTTTGAATGAACAAATCAGAGATCTATTTACCAAGCCTGCCCCCTTGGTAACACTATTTGATCAATTCCAGAATTCTTTTTGATAGGTAATTAAAAAAGCTTTTCCTTAGGTATGGAGTGGATTGAACCATTAATTACACTTCACAGCCCTAGAGATGCAATTCTTGTGCTATTGTGAGATGTCTATGGCAAACCACAAAACTGCTTGCCTCCATAAAAGAACTGAATAAATGAAAGCAATTTCCTCGAGACCCAGATTTCTCTGCGTTTTATGGCTAAAGACTTGAGTTGCCAAGGCATTAATAAGTTTGTTCTTTAGGGCTGAATTTTCTCAATACAAACATCCATGACCGCAACACAAAGAAATATCTTCTTTGGCTGATAGAGCCAGCAGACTGAATCCATATATTAATATTATTGTTATCACTGAACTGCCACAATGCACTCGGCATCCAGTAGCACAAAAAAAGATCAGTTAAATTAAAGATCCTCACCAAGCAGCGACAATTTTGTGTAAAAGCCAATTTAGCCATTATGGAAGCTGCAGGATCATATTAACTTTTCTCAAAAGTATGCATAATGCATGACAGCAAGTGGTTTTGACAAGTGCCTGAGTGTGTGTGTCTGTGTGTGTGGATGTGTCCTGCATGTAAAGAAACTCCTGAAGTTATTTAAGTTGCAAAGTCAAGTGATAGAAAGATAGCAAATGCTGGATTTACAGGTGTTGCACCTGTTCAATTCAACCCCTTGCTATCCAGCCTGTGCATCAAAAAGAACAGGGGAATTGATTTTATCCTGAGAGACAATGCTTATGTTTGAAAGCATCTGGTTAGCTGACACTTCCCAATTTTCCAGCATGCTACACTGTAAAACAAACAGCTTTTGTAAGTCTGGAGGCCTTTACCCCTGCCTTTGAATGACATTCCCTAAGGTTTTGGACTTTTTCTACTTTCTTTAATTTTGATAAAGTAAAAATCTGCTGTCACATGGGGCTTTAGCACCTCTGTCTTCATGCATGACTGGGAAGGACTGAGTCTGATACCTTGTTACTGGAGCAGGGCTGGTATTTTGTGCTGGAGCTGGCAGCAGGGGAGGCTGTTATTCCCCCAAAAGGGCAGGAGGATGAATTCTGCCAGCCTGCCACAGCCACACAGGGAACCCTGCTCTCCTCTGCCCAGTGCCTGCAGGGGCTTGGGTGGCTGACCCTGGGAAGTGCAGAATCTCCACCAAAACCTCAGCTCTGTTGTCCCAGGTCTGGTTTTGACTATTCAGACATTTTCCCTTTGACATTATGGCAAAAAAGGCATGGACAGAGCCCAGCAGATTTTACAGCATTCCCAGGGACAGGGTTCAGGAGTATTTACACCTCCACATATTAGGAGGGATAAGTGACACAAACACATGTTCTTATGCTTTCCTACACACAGGGTTCATTGGCATCAGTGGATTATTTCCACTTAGTGCTCAGGTTTTTTCAATCATGAGAACTCATTTTATATATGGAAGAACACGTATGGAAATTACTCCAATAACACTTCACCATCAAACAACACTTTCCCAGAGAACCACAGAACAAGCTCTAGCTTAGCCATGTGCTTGTGAAACAAAAATAACCTGAAAGCTTCTCTTTCTTCCATTTCATGGAGGAAATAAGATGTGTTAGTGAGGGATAGAAGTCCTGCTGATACTTTACTGCTGGGAAGAGAAATCAAGACATTAAAGATTCTGAGCTCTCCACAACATATTTTCTACAGTGGTACGGCCCTTGAGAAACGTCAAATATTATATTATTTATACATCTCTGATAGGTATTTAAAAATCTCTGTTATTGAGAAGAAAAAGCTGAGATATATTTATCATACCATGCTAGAATGAAACTGCAATTCTGTAATTATTGTGTGATTTGTAATCACAAGCAAGCAGTTCACTGCCATTGCCTCTGTCTGGCACACAAACACAACATGCACAAAATTTGCTCTTGTCTCCTGTACCAACAGAAATTCTTATTGTAAAGAAAAGGTTTCTGAGCTAAAAGGAGTATCTGCAGTAGCAGCAGCAGGTAGGAAAGCAGAACAAAATGTGAGAAAAGCATCTGGAGGGCAGGAGTACCCACCTAGGCTTGAGACTTTGCTGCAGTGGAAGGACAGGGAGGTGACTCCAATTTAGGAGCCTCCATGGTCACGCTGGCTGACTCTGCACCTCTGTAGTGCAACATATTTTTTAATTTGCTGCATGGGGATGAAAATACCTCCTGAAAAGCAATTAAACTGCCAAATGTTTATGAACTATGCTTGTAGATGGAATAGAAGGCTTATTCTATCAGAATAAGAGAGTGGACAACAGTAAAAGGGGAGTTCAAATGAACTAAAATGTAATATTTCTCATCAAACTTGGAATATTACAAGTCCTGAGTTTGCATACTGAAATCATATTTACTTTCATAAATTGTGCCTGGGCAATGTAGACTTGAGTATAAATTCTCCCTGTTCATATCTTTAATACTGGTTTGTGAAAATATATAGATTGGATATTTTAAATGGAAACCAGAATGGGGAGAAAGCAGAATTTAATACTTTGGGAATGCAAATTCAGATGTTTTTATTCACAGGCTGGCCATGGACTTCGTACATGGCCTTGGACATTGATTCTACCTTGCTTCTCTCTCTTAAAAAATGAACAGTTCTGGGAATATGAATATAAATCACAAGGAAACTAAGAAGTGAGAGATGGAGAGATGAGACCACTGGGCAAATCAGCACACAGAGAAATTGGACAAGAGTGGTATTGCAAAGTCCGTCTCAAGCTCCTGGAAGTTCAGTTCTCTCCAAAACATAATTAGAGTGTGTAAACCAAACAGCCAAGCTCAGCTTTGGTCCGTGTCCTGCTTGTGGGGCTGCAGAGCTGGATGCAGTTCCAGCTGGGCTGACACAGAGTGAGCAGAGGGGCAGAACCCCCTCCCTCCCTGCTGCCCTAAGGGAGGGCTGAGCCCTGGACACCTTTGGTGCTCTGGACTCTGAGTGCACTGGGCACTGTTGAGCTCCATAGCCAACACCCCCACATCCTCCTCCTCCTCCCCAGGGCTGCTCTCTATCCATCCAAGTGGGCAAAAGTCTTCTTACACCAAGACCTTCTACATTCTCCACTTTCACTCATTTTCCATAGCAAGTTCAGTCTGAAGGGCTGTCCTGTGACTCATAAGCATCTAGAGGCAAGTGCATCAACTGCAGCATCGAGATCTGACTAGAACCACCTCAGAAGTGTCAACACGTGGCAAGGAAGGCAGCTCTCCCTGGAACACAGATATTTAATCATGTGGCATGGCCTGATGAGATACCCACAATGAGAAATGTCAAAAAGCTCATCTGAATGACTCATCAAAGGTTCTAAGCAAAACTCTGGGAGAGGATAATCTGAAGTGAAACATCTCTGCATTGCAAATGGTCTCATGGTTCTGACAGCTGCTGAGCTGGATTCCAGCTCTGCAGCCTTTGCTTTTGCATTTCCTAGCAGAACACAGCTCATTTATCCTCATCCCCCTGACCACAGCAGCGAATAACAGCCAGGTCAAACCTCACTGACCTTCATTTGGGAAACTTCACTTTGACTTCAGGGCCTCTGGGCCAGATCTGACACACAGCTCCAATATTTGCATAACTACAGATTCCTTTTTACCCCACCATAATTCCATGATGGATTTTTATGATAATCAAGAGAGGAGAGATGAGACCATTGAACAAGTCAGAGTACTTGCATCAAACACGGTATCAAGGCACCAGATTGTTTTCTCTTTGCCAAATTTGTTACCTGAGTTTTCTTTTCTGTAGCAAGGGTTTGAGAAGACAAATGCTGAATCAATACTTCTGAGATCAGTTTATTATGTAACACAGCTAATGAAATTTGTAGTTAAGCTGAAGGGTTTTTTTGGCAGCTTGAACTGTCTAAAATCCTAATTCAGTTGCAATCTACTCACAGAGCACAGCTGTTTAGCTTGGCTAAACTTTTCTCACCACTTAATAGGATACTTTTTTATTTAACTTTCAATTCTGCCTAGGAGCCCCAGTGGGTCTTTTAAAACAGAAGATTATTATTAGAAATTAATTAAGTATTCTTTTCAATTCTGTCTCCTGAGAGCAACGAGGCATTGTTGCTGATCTCTCTGCATTAAGACATTACTGATTGTCATTCATGGGATGGCAGTGCAGATGTCTCATCTGGAAAATATATAACTCCATAAATATGAAAGATTTGAAAGTTATTTAATACAAAATATAATAAATCAGTGCAAATAATAAACATGTAATTGCGATGTCAAGCATAGCACAGGCGTGTGAAGACTATAAACACTGGAATAAAAATAGACACACATTCCAAAGACAAAAAAAATCTTACTGCAATTACAGGACCCCGATGGATTGCACTTAGTCCATGTTTCAGCACACTGCAAGCCCTGACTAAACAATTCTAAGAATATCAAAGGCAATTAAAGACAATTGATTTGATAAGCTGGGGTTATTTTTAAGGGACCAGTGACTATAAAATGTTTGCTGCATTTCCCCCCTCCCACTGCACGTGACTACAAGAAGCACAGACTAAATCTGCCACCTCTGAAGGTTTTTCTAAATGAACCAAACCCATAGAGCACTGATATCCTGATGTAAGTTTGGATCTGAGGCCTTGAACGTGCATATTAATGTCCTACTGACAGAATTAGCTATGCCTTTAATATGGCACTTTATGCTTCAGATGGCAGTGGGTTTGTTTCTCACTCAGCTCAGGGGTATCTGTGCAAGTGTCTGCTCTCATATTTCAATCAGGAAGGGATGTGAGGAGAAGAATGGGTCAGCAGAACAACAATCAATCCCTTACTCCAAATAATAATGCAGAATTCAACTTACTTTTTTGGTCTGTAGTCAGGGATGGACCTGTCCAGTGATATCCTGTCACTGAGTTGGGCATTGTAACCATATTCTTCATACTTAGTCTCTGATTCATGGCTGTCATCTCTCAGGGTAGCAGCCATTCCCCCCTGGCCCAAACCTCCTGGACCTTCAACTAATCCCATGGGCTTTGCCAAACCTAAATGAAACAGATAAAAAAAAAAAAATCAAATTATTAATATAAAGGATATGGATAGAACCTCTTCTCTGACCACAGAATGTTTTCAGATAAATGAGAACTGATCTCCCAGGAAACTCAGCTCTTAAACCCTCATGGCTCTGTGGAAATTATCCCCAGCTTTTCAAACCAAAGTCCAAATCAACACATCTTGTAGTATCTGTGCATAATGAGCAGACTATAAAGAATCAATTAGCAGCTTTCACGATTCCTTCTTTTCCAAAATGCCTAATTATTGTTAAGATAATTAAGAAAAAATTTTCCCCATTAGAACTGGAGGGTTTCCCCATGTAGCCCATTAAAGCTTCACTCATTTTAAGGGAGAGATGTTGAATTTCTACCACATGTGGGTGTGCCAGTTTAACTCCACCTTAATATCAGTTCTGGTACCTGTTCTATGACTCCAAGACCACTGCAGCTCAGGTCTGCTTTGGTTCCCTTGTGTTGGGGACACAGCTGTGGACTGGTCACCAGCTTCTGCTGGGTAGGAAATACAGAATAAATCTGATTTCACTGCCTGAGTCAACAGATGGGTCATTTGGACTCAAATACACAAGCTGCCCAGCCTGTTGACACAAAGATGTGCTAAAACTATTTTAATGGAGCTGACACTCCACCTGGGAATCACTCCAGATTTCCTCTGCACTTCACATCTGACAAATGAAATATGTAAGATACTCAGCTCTGTACAGCTCACAGCAGCAGCACTGGCTAGTGCTGAGAAATTAGCCAGTCAACAATGCATTTACAGGCTTCATTCACTGGTCAACTCAAAAACTAAAACCAACATAAAAAATGCCCATATGATCACACTGCCAAGAACCTCTTCCATGGCAACAAGCATTTAATTTGGTGCTGAATCCTCATAAATAAGCTCCTCAAATATCCTGTGTTTAATGTCAAAGCTTTCCTCTCCAAGGGGCTCGCTATCAACAAGTCATTATAAGTGACAAAGGTATTTATAATAATCCTGGGAACACCATACAGGAATGTGTGACTCTCCCCCAAATCATTTACCATACCAAGTAAAGCAATTAGAGTTTGACCCGCTCAACATTTTTCAAATCAAGACTTTTTCAAGAGGAAAATGTCATTATTTCAACTAAACTATTAAAAAAGAAAGAAAGAAACTGTCAGCATTTGGTAGCAAGAAACACACGTGGCAGTACCAATGTGGGACTGGCTTCTCCAAGTCACATTAAGGAATTCTCTTGCACCTCACTGCTAACAATATCCTGGCTTGTTATAGTTCCATCACCATCTCTGTTTAGTGACAGGGCAGCCCTGAGAGACACTGGTTCATTACTGGTCTGAAAGAGTGAAATTTTGTTTGCATTTTGTCCTGCAGTGCTTATGACAAAATCCTGTGCTAAGGTAAGTGCAACAATACAAACAGTCACAAATTAACATAAAAGGGCTGAGTACCTGCAGTGCTCAGGAATTCTGCTACTGAATTTCAGACACTGCTGACAAAAATGCACAAACACTGCAGTCAGTGTCCTGAGTCAGGACAGACCTTGTTTGTGTTTGTGTTTTTGATGCCTTCATGCTCCTCATCACCATGCACTGAAACATGACTAAAACTCAAGATTAGTCTGGACTTCAAAACAGAGAAATTCTTCTAGCTTATTAAGTGAAGTGCTTCAATCCATGTTCAATATTTCTGAAAATATTTTAGGGAGCTTCATTTTGAAGAAAATTGTAACGTTTGTTCTTTTTGTTCCAATTTGGGATGAGAGGCTACTTGGCACTTTGACTTTCCTTTGGAAAAATTAAAACAGAGAGCCCTCCATGCCTGACAATGATTCCTTGCTTGAGTAATTACAGAAATTACATGTCCAAGACTCTACAGCTCTTCCCACCCAAAAGGAAAAACACAGCAGCCTAATCTTCCTGCATGATACAGTCTTAGACTTAACAGACATCACCAGCAGTGATGCTGCAAACTTTGCTTGACGTGCCCAATATACAGAATCTTAAAGGGGGCTCAGTATCTGAGAAAAGTCAGCAATTTCCTCCAAAAAAAATTCAGATTAGGCACTTTAAAAGTCAAAACCCCAGAAAACTTGACAAAGCCTATGTCCTTGAAAGACCATAATGTGGAAATTCATTTGATGATGATTTGGGATCATCTGGGATAGGTTCTGATATAACATCAAAGCAAATTGAAGATGACTTCATTAAAATTAACTGACCTGCTTTAATGAAAGGGTCTCCAAGATGTGGCATGTTCATTTGACTTGAAGCAACAATTTAATTCCAGTAGTTGAAAACTTTATTCTTCATACCATATGGTCTTGCAGTTTATGGAACAAAACACTTGAGTCTTTATGGCACAAGTAATGTGGGAATGAAACTTCCAACCCACAGGAAGCACCAAGCACTTGGCTATTTTACTTGTGAGAGAATTGGTTAGACAGCCTGCCAAGCCATGCATGATGACAATTATTTCATATACCTTTTCCTAAATCTGATATTCTAGCTCTTTGTGCTGCTAATCTGATCTTGTTCTGGGAAGGAGTCATCATTTGTCTGACTTCCTCTCAGAGCATATTGCTGTGAGTTCTTTTCTCCATTCTTTACCCAAACTGTAGCTTAGTCTGACAGATATCCCAGTAATGCAGTAACATTGACCAATATATATAGCAGCAATTAAATAAATGATATCACATTGCTTTCCTTCAAGAAGAGCACTAAAATGTCTCTAGAAGTTCTTAGGAACAATGAATATACTGTATTTTATATAT